GTAGGCTTAAGGTTAAATGATACTCTGGACTAGGCCAGAATAGGCCTGTATAAAAAAAAGTATTCATTTGAACATAATGTTCAGGCTGAACAGTTTTTTAAAGAGGTACCAGCGGAAGCTGGCAAAGCTCCTACGACAGCATTCCTCAACGTTGAGATTTCCCACTTTCTTAGTTCAAGAAAATATTATTGGTCAAATGTCACGTTAACGCTTGGTCAAGAAGACTGACAAGCAGAAAAGAATCGAATATGGGTAGATATGAATAATACTCTTCCATTTCCAGTATAAGCAGACAAAGATAATTCTTGAATAAAAACTTAGTCGGTACAGGTTATTAAAGAGGATTTTAAGACTGGCAGACGAGTTTTGCCACAATCAGATGAATCTACCTCACAAAGCAAAGGAATTTCGCTTAGGCTTGCCTCTCAAGAGGCAACCTTAACCCGACTGGAGTGAACTGAAGTTTCGACCTCGTCTGAACTGGTCTCATCAGCCCAACTAATGGGATTCGACACAAAGTCATGAGTATCACAGCAAGATTACGGCATCACTACACAACCACGAGCGCTGTTGGGTCATAGGGGAGGTGTAGAATTCAAGGCAAACCAGACCTCTCTTACATCACGTTGCATAGATGAATTTTCGATTAATCAAGAATATATTTATAGTAACAATTGAGGACATTATTAATTATTGGTATAAGTAGATTTCGAGACTATCAGTAACTCTTAAATATGAGAAAGTATTTCACCCTAGATGAGATGGCCTTTCGATAGGCAAGGCCAGATGAAATTCAAACTCATCGTGGGACCTATTTAACTAATTATGGAAAAACTCAACTATCTATCATTAAAACACCTTAAGTGACTTAGGCAGATTAAGTTCTTATTTAAGAATTACTCAGTCTCTAAACCTACTTGCATCTAAAATAGGTTAAATTGTTGATTACATTGACAAATACATATTTGCCTAATCGACTGACTGTGAGTCACTGGTATCTGCGGCTATATAGTGGAATGGTAACGTACCCCCGATACTCATGACCCAGCCATCGAGGCCTAGTGGGGATGCTGATGAGACTCAGACGAGGTCGAAACTGCAGTCCATCCTTTTCGAGGCAAAAAGAGAAATTTAATAGCATCTTCAGGCCTATTAATCTCCTTAT